CTCTTGTTACCCTATATATTCACCAAATCGATCGATCCGATCTTTTCAATGTTCGATTTAAAAATCCACGAACAAACGAAAAAAAAATTGTCAAATTTTAAAACATTTTGTTTTGGGAAATTTACCCGAAAAACCATTGAATCATCGGCAAAAAAAATTATTATTCCGTTTTTCGTTTTTCCAACCAGAAAAAAAATCGTTAATTGAATAGAGATGGAGAGAGAGAGAGAGAGAGAGAGAGAGAGAGAGAGAGAGAGATTCATTAGATCAATAATAATAAATCTATTCTATTTCTACCCAAAAAAGTCAAAAAATTACTGTCAAATTTTTTTTTATTTTGTTTTGGGAAATTTACCCAAAAACCAACCCGAAAACCATTGAATCATCGGCAAACAAAAATTATTCCGTTTTTCAACCAGAAAAAAAATCGTTAATTGAATAGAGATGGAGAGAGAGAGAGAGAGAGAGAGAGAGAGAGAAAGAGAGAGAGAGAGAGAGAGAGAGAGAGAGAGAGAGAGATTCATTAGATCAATAATAATAAATCTATTCTATTTCTACCCAAAAAAGTCAAAAAATTACTGTCAAATTTTTTTTTATCTGGGTCATTTTTTTTAGCAAGAATCATCATTCATAATGATAATAAGGAAAAATGCATAAAACAACAGCGACGATGATTCTATTTATCAAATCAAATTAATTTCCCAAACAAACAACCAATATGCATAGAGCAAATATGCAAAAGAAAGAAAGCCAAGACCAAGTCTAAGATGGCGAAAGCAAAATAAATAATGATTTTCGATGGCTGGCAAACAGGCAAAAAACTTCTTTATTTTCCATAATAATCATATTTCACCTTTGAATGGATTCATTTTATTCATGGAAACAACAACGAAAAACAAAACAAAAATGGTTTCTTTTTTCTGATATCGATGATGTGGATCATGATTATTATCGAAGAAGAAAAAAAAGAAATCAAATCAAACAACAGCAACAAAACAAAGGGAAAAAGGCAAAAGCAAAAATCAAACAAAAAGCAAAAAGCAAAAAGCAAAAACAAAAAAGCAAAAAGCAAAAATCATCAACAACAGAATTTTGTATTTTGGGAATATAGTTAATGAATGAATGAATGGAATGGAATGGAATGGAAGTTGCAAGTTCATCATTAAATCATAATTTTTGTTGTTGTTGTTGTTTGGTTGATCAGGATCAAGTTTTCCCCTTATTCATTTCATATTTCTGATTTATCATTTTTGTTGTTGTTGTTGTTGCTATTTTTGTTGTTGTTGTTGTTGTTGTTGTTGTTATTATTATTTTCTCACTAATTCTATTCGTTTGATTCCATAAAAAAGCAACTAAACTAAAACTAGATTTGCATGTGATTCTTGTGATTCTCGAATTCTGATTCTGATTTTGCTTTTATCATAGAATCCACAGAATATCCACAGAATCCATAGAATGCATTTCACACACTTATACACTCATTGATGCGTAACACACTAAAAAGCAATAGCAAAAAAAAAGTTAATTTTCGTATCACGTTCCATTTCAAAACCCAAAAGAACGAAAAACAAAAAGCAAAAAATGATAACATCATCAGATGTGACATAAATACACTCTCACTTATACAATTGAAAAACAAACAAACAAACAAAAACAGACAAAAACAGCAACTGATGGCATCCAAAAAACCGAGATGACAATGAAAACAAAGAGAGACCAACAAAACAAAAAAAAAAGACAGAAGCTGAATCAACAAAGAATTGATGCAAAAAAAAATCTGAAGCGAGAAAACAAAACAAAAAAAGCTCCAACAACAATGATGATGAATATAATGGCTTGGGAAGTTTTCCCTTGGAAAACTTGGCTAAATAAAAATATTTTGCCATTTGAGAATTTATAAAACGTTTTTTTGATTTTTGATGTGTGTGTTTTTCATATGGAAATTCCGTAAAGAATTTTCTATTCAAGAAGTTCCAATGGATTTGATTTGATTCTTTGTTTTCACATGACTTGTTTGACCTATTGATTTTCTTTTTTCATTATTATTATTTATAAATTCTGCTTTTCTGCATTCTGTTTCATTGTTTATCCTAATCATTATTATCATTTTGGATGATGATAAACAATGAACAGAATCGTGAATAGCGAATAAGTTAATCGAATCAATTAACAAAACGATGATGATGATGATGATAACTAAACGCCTATATACACCCAACCAACCTAAGTGGATTTTTTTTTATTTAATGAAATTAGTTGAACTGAAAAAAAAATGCAAAATATCGTGATTTGAATTTAACATGACTTTATTTTTTTTTGTTGGAAAAGTAAACATTACCGCAAGATCAAAATAGCCAAACTAAACAAAACCAAACAACGAAAACGAAATTGAATTAGTTTAGGTTTGCGTTTTTTTTTCTTCGGTGATTTTGCAATAGATAAATCTCAAAGTGGTGTTTTTTTCATTTACTTTTGCAATCTTTATTTCTTTTCAGAAGTAAAAGTGAAATCAAACCAAGATTTTTAGTTTACAGAAGCAAAAAAAAAAGATTGCGAAAGAATCGATAAATTTCGTGACATTTCAATTTAATTCTTTTAATGAATTGTTTTCTTTGCCAGAATGATGAATGTTTGTTTGATGATGATAATAATAAAACATTCAAACATCAAACATTTGAATCCATTTGGGAGCAAATCAAATGTCGAACCAAATGAAAATCCATTTTAATTCAATTTTCTTTTTGATTGAAATTCTCTCTCTCTCTCTCCCCTCTTGCCATCCTGAAAGAGAATCCTGATTCTGTAATTCTGTAATTAATGCAGATGCTGGTTTTTTTGTGGCACCAGGAGTTTTTTGTTTCACATTTGATTTTTAAAATTCAAAATTAAACAAACAGAAGCTAAAAATCAATCAAAATTTCAATTTTTTTAACCCTTTAGGCTGATTGTGACCTGATGAAAACATAGAGATAAATTGATTTTGTAAACAATCAAGGAAAACAAAAATTTTTCATTCAAACAATCAAAATTTAATGAATGAATTTTTCCGGGGAAATTTCTCGAAACAAACCGAAACTTTTTTCTCAATGTTTTAACAAATCAATTAATAACAACAACAGAAGTTGATTGATTGAATAATAATGATTCAAAATAACACTGTGTTACTCTATCGATCAACAACAAAACAAAAATGAATTTTTTTTTGATTTCGAGATTGATCGATATTTTTCATCAAAAGAAAAGTTTTTTGCCTCTCTACTTATGAATATTCTTTTTTTGTTAACAACTTGTTAGTGTGTAGGGAGTAAAATGAAAAAGAAATAACTAATGAAAATTAATCGAAATTGTCAATAATCAATAATCATCATGTCAATAAATATGGCTTCCGAAAGAATTTCTTAATCAATTTGCAGTTGTTGTTTGCCCCACCATTCCCCCACCACCACCATCAACGATTGTTTCATGTCAATCAAATTCTTCTCTAATATTTTCTTCCAATTCAAAATGAAAATATGAAAAAAAATTCTTCAAAAAAAATTTGCCATCATTTTATTGTTTTTCCAAATTTTCTATTTCTAGATTCTCAATATTCTGGATATTCTTCGCTCTATATTTATCCACTTTCTCTCTCTCTCTCTCTCTCTCTCTCTCTCTCTCTCTCCTCTCTCTCTCTCTCTCTCTCTCTTACCGTTTTTATCGTTTCTGCACAAATTCTTTACGCAATAATAAATAAAAAAGAAGTAAATATATTTGAATGGAAAGATATATTTCTATGGCTTATTTTCATGACGCCTGGCGTCAATAGAGTCGGTAAATTTATTTATATGTGTTTTCTGTGTGTGTGTGTGTGTGTTTAACTTGACTAAATATTTACATGTACACCATTTAATGGATTCATTTCGTTATTGCTGCTGCTGCTGCATCATTACCAGGATCTCTCCGGATCGGATCAGACAAAGTTGAAATGAACAATTTTTTCGTTTTTCGTTTTCGTTTTTCATTCTTCTTGGAATAAAATAACGATATGGATTTTTTTCCATTTTTATTTTTCCTTTATTCCAAAAAAAAAATTGTAACATTTATTTTTGCAGCACCAGCCGTGTGCTACAGCAGTGTTAATAAATTGTACAATTTTTGTTTTGTTTTGTTATTCGTTTGTTTTGTTAATAATTTATTTTTGCGTAGAAAATTTGTCTGTTTGTTTTGTTTTCCAGTTGTTTTATTAAATTATTTCCATCATCATATTGGGGAAAACAAAAGAATAATTTTTTCTATTTTTAAAACATGCATGGGAAATATTTCCAGAATTTTAAATTCTGGAAACATTTTCCCAATGATCATAATGTATTCTTTCATTCGATTGGTTAGTTGACCGAATTCAATAAGAAAAAAATACGAGAATATTCCTCGGGAAATTTCACCGAGATTTTTCTATCTGAAAAGGTTAATTTTCCATTTTATAATAATGTAATCCAATTCATTTAATTACATAAAATTAAAATGGAAATATTCTTTTTTTTGCTTTGAGTCAATTTTTTTCCTTTTAACCCTTTTGATTCCATTATCAAATGATGAAATTAGATGGGAAAAAAACATTGAATTTCCATTCATTTAAACATTTTAATGTAATTTTTCCTTTTTTCATCTGTCGGGTTTGTTTGTTTGTTTGTTTCAAATTGTCAATGTCTATATTACATTTCAATTTACGTTGATAGAAAAAAAAATCTGCTTCAGGGTTATTTTTCATTAGATTTTTCATTAAAAAAAAAAATAAATTTCAATTTTTGATTACTAATGTGGGTGTATATTGCGCAAGCAATGTCAATATTCTAAATCTAATCTTTCTTTTTTCTTCTTTTTCTTTCTGTTTTTTTCAGATATCTTGTGGAAAGCCAGCGATGATTTCTTCTTCCCCCCCCCAAAAAAACAAACTGCCAATATCCAATATAAACCTACAAAAACGATTTTTGCTGCTTCCATTCAATTCAATTGAATGTCTAATGATGTTGTTGAAAAAAAATTCTTAATGTGATCATTTCTCTTGGGAAAAATATTCCGTTCTCTCTCTCTCTCACCTCTCGTTGGAACAACACGGCAATCATCATCATTAAACAACAACAACAAAAAACAATGAAAATTTCATAGTAAAAAATAGAATCGATTACGAAAAATGATGATAATGATGATAATAAAGAATATTTGAAAAGAATTACCGCTTCTACTTTCATTTGGATTCCAAAAAAAAAAAAAAAAAAAAAACGATGATGATGATTTCATCAAATTCAATGGAAGATTATTCTGTATCATCATCATCATCAAATATCGATCAGAATGATGATCCTACGGATGATTTGGATGATGATTATCATCATCATCTGAATCATCAAAATCTTCAACCAAACGATAATTTGATTTTAATGATGAAAAATTATACAAACAAACAATTAAATCATTTTTGTAATGAATTATTATCGTCATTAGTTTCATCAACAACGACCGCAGCATCAAATAAGACTTCTGAGGTAGAAATAGAATTCTGTAAGAGTTACATTTCATCATCCACAGCAGAATCATCTTCCGACACTGCATCATCATTTCAATTCACAAGTGAACCTTATTATTTTTCTCAAATGCCAAATCTAACTAAAACAATAATCAATAATTTATTGATTGAATCAAAATTCTATGTGCCAAATAATTTATCATCATCATCATCATCGCCTTTATCATTTGAACAAATACAGAATAATCCTTTCGACGACTATAACCACTCAATGATGATGATCAATAATAATGATTACAACGGAAATATTACTGATCTAAATAACAATAATGATGGTTATCTTAATCCAAGTAAGTTTTCCGGGGAGGAAAATGTTCCCGGAAAGAAATTTTCCAAGAAATTTAATTTAATTTCAATTTTTTTTTCTCCACATAGATTTAAAAATAACATTAATCGTTTTATTGAGCTTGATGATTGTATTTACTGTTATTGGTAATATTTTAGTTTGTTTATCAGTAATATTGGTTCGTAAATTACGACATCCATCCAATTATCTTTTGGTAAGTTTCTTTTTCTTTTCAAACCGAAAAAAATGGGGTAATTTTTTTCAATTCTGTATCGAATTGGAATCTTTCCAGGAAATTTTCTTCCCCTTTTTTTCAAATAAACTTTTCAATTTTTTTTTGGTGAAAATCCTACCCCTTTTATCTTTTCAAATTGATTTTTTTCGAACCAAAATCACATTATTCACCAAGCAACAACAACAACCACCCAAACATTCCTTTGAAAATTTTCTTTCTGGCAATTTTCTTTTCTTTTTTTTTTTGATTTTCTTTGTGAAATTCTCAATCACTATAGATTCATTAAATTGATTTGAAAATAATAATAAATTTTCAAGTCAAAAAACCGATGCAATAACCAAAATGAAACAACGAAAACAACAACAAAAAGTAAACCAGATAAATTATTTGCATAAAGTCGAAATTTTCGGTAAAAAAAACAAACAAACAAACAAACGCAGACACACAGTATTTAAAAAGATAAATTGATTGTGTGTGTGTTTATTTTGGAATTTTGTTTAAAACGAAATGAAATGAAAAATAAACATCAAAGAAATAAATCAAAGCCAAAGTTGTATTTTTCTGAGAAATTTTTCCAGAAAATAAATTGAAGGAAACTTTCTGAGCTGAGAAAAAGGGATTTTTTTTGAAAAGATTTCGGTTCTGCTTTTTAAAATATTCAAAATGAAATGCAAACGAATTTTTTTTTTGAAGAAAAAAAGTTTTAAAATTGAACCAAGCAACCAAGGTTTCTGGGAAAGATTCTCAGATTTTTTTTCTCTCACCCTGTTCATCTTGTTACCCGGATAATCGCAAAAAAAAAAGAAAATGCTTTGCAAATCAATTTTGAAAATGAAAATATCGTTTTTCCCCAAAAACACACTTACTTAACCCTTTACCAAACCAACAAAGAGAAACAAAAATAAAATGTTCATTGATTATCAAGTGTTAAGAATATTCATTGTATACAGAGAGAAAATATTCTGAAAACAAAACAAAACTGTAATAATGATAATATTCAAACGGAGGGGGTAGAAAAATGATTAAAATGAATGAAAATTCGGTAACAGCTCGAAAATAAACAAAAAAAAAAAATAATAATAATAACCCGTGTTACCCCACATATTACAAATCATCTCTATCACAGGCAAACAAGAAGAAAGAAACTTTGTATCGAAATTATGTTTTTTCTTTTTTGCTTTTCTTGCTCTCTGGCATACAGAATGTCGATGATGATCGTCCATAATTACCATATGATGCTAGAGGGGATATCGTCATCAAACATTCATATCATCATTATGCAAAAACAAGAAAGGCTTGAAACAAAAAAATTTTGCCGAACACCGACAAAGAAGAAGAAGAAGAAGAAGAATATTCTAGGATTCCACAGAATCAGAAAATGTGTATTTTGAACTCAAGAATATTCTTGTTTTTGGGTAGGGAAAATCATTATTATGCAAAATAGGAAATTTGTAAATGAATAAAAATGAATTGAAAAAGTGAATGTTTTTTTTCTTCTGAAAAACCACAAAAAACCTAAACTTTATGTTTTTACGTTGAAACAAGAATTTTCTTGATTCTTTGTTGTTGTCGTTGTTGTTCAATTTGTTGTTTTTTACTTTTTTCGTTGAGTGTGAATAATATTTGTATAAATTTGAATTGATGATCATCATCGATTCTGGTGAATTCTTGTTTATGGAATAAAATTCTGTAATGTAACTGAATACACACACACACACTGGTAAATAAGAATATATTTCGCTCGATTCTGTAGAACTTTGGATTCGATCGTTGTGTGGGTGGATGTATATAGTGTGTTTGTAGTGAACCAAACCATCCACACTCTCGTACGAAATGATTTTATCATTTTCATTTTTGAATTTCTGAAATTCTTCCGGAATAAATTGATGTTTCCGTTGAGAAATGTTCCCAGAAATTCCCAAATGAATTGTTATTGTTGTCGACGATAAATAACATTTGCGATTTTATCACGATCATCATCATCATCATTGTGAATGGTCAATTGAGTGATCGGTAATTTCCTTTATTTACATTTTCTGTCTGTCATTTTTGTTAGGAACAACAAAAAAACCAAGAATCGACCGGATTCAGTCGATATAGTCGGGGGGAGAAATCTGAAAAGATAACAAAAAAACGGAATGTCATGGCAAAAACAACAACAAAAACTCATCACTTTGTTGTTGTTGTTGTTGTTTCATTGATTTTGTGTTGACAACAACAACAACAATGTTGCAACAACAACAACAATTTTTATCAAGTCCGCGAAATGTTTTTTTTAAAAAAAATGATTGATTATATTTGTCAGGTTCCGGAAAAATTTCCTCATTTTTGAAATGTTTCGGAAAGATTTCCCCCCATAGTGATATCACCATTGTTAATCATAATCATAAACAAAATTCGATAAACAATTTTTTTTCGGACAACATTCATTAAAAAGGGGAAAGTTTCCCAGAAATGAAAATAATAATAAAATTATGAATCCGATAAACTATACCCGGGAGGGAAAAATGTTGTTTTTTTTCGGGAAAGTTTACAAGTGAAAATGAATCGAATCATAAATGACATATGACCACTGATGATGATGCTTTCATTCTCATTTATTTATCACGAAAAAAATGAAAATGAAAATAATGGAAAAAGCCCCGAAGATGTATTTTGAGAAAATCAATTGATCAGTGTCTGGTGTGCCTGTGTTAATTGCGTTCCTTCGTCCATTCTGCCATTGATATTTGATATTTATTGCCAGAAAAGATTCTCATTTTTTTGTTGTTGTCGTTTGATTTGCTATCTTTCATCAATTCTGTGTTCTAATGAATTTTCACTTTTTTTCACTTCATCATTGGATCTGATTTTTTTTTTCTCGATAAAATAAATTATTTTTGGACTGAAAATCCTTTTGTTGTTGTTGATTACGAATCGAGAAAATAAAAATTCCATATTTCATAAGTGAAAAATTCATTGAATCATATGAATAGAGATTCATTGATGGAATCAAATTCTCACTCTGTCTGTCTGTCTGTAATACAGAAAATGTCAAAACCGAAACAGTTGAAAATTAGATTTTCCGAAAACATTTCTCCGATCTTGATTTTCTTTTTATTCTTCCGTTTCAAATCAAATTTTCGGTTGATTTGTTTTAATTAGAAATTTTTGCTTTTCTTTTCATTTCGGATTTGAATTTTTTCTCCTTTCCAAAAAAAAATTATGCCAATTACATTATGACATTTGTGGATTTTTCATTTTCACAATCTTAGAAAAAGATAATTTGAAAAAATGTTGATAATTGAAAAAAAACGATGATTACCGAAATACTTGTAATGAAATACCGGTTTCTGTTTCTTCGTTGAAACATTGATCATAAATCATTTTTTTTTTTCTCTCTCTCTCTCTCTCTCTCTCTCTCTCTCTCTCTTGCCATTCTCTTGATATTATCTTGACCAAAAACTTTCCTTTTTGGCTTTTTTCTTCTGGCTTTTTTCTTCAATGAAAATGTAAAAGAATGGAAAGAATTACAAACGAAATGACACTTGACTGATGTGATGATCCACACCACAAAACAGTGAACAGATATGAGAATCTGAAACCCTGAGAAAAAATTCTTTTTTTACCCGGTTTTCACACTCAATTTAACTTATTTTGTTTTGGAATAAAGGAAAAAGATATTTGTTTTTTTCGGGTGAAAAAATTGAATGAATTCTTTGGGGGTTTTTTCCCGGGAAATTCCCCCAAAAAAAGTTTATTGTTTTTTTCCGAAAATATTTTTTTCGAAAAATTAATTAATTTTTCTTTTTTGTTTTTTTTTGTTTTTCGTTAAATAATTTTTAACCCTAACCCACCCAACGCAGGTATCATTAGCGATATCAGATCTTTGTGTAGCAATATTAGTAATGCCATTAGCATTACAATATGAATTATCACAATCATGGCGTTTATCTCAAAATATCTGTGATTTATGGGTTTCATTCGATGTAACCGCATGTACATCATCAATATTAAATCTTTGTACAATATCAATCGGTAATGTATTGGTTTCTATCCATTCATCGACTTTTTCTTAATTGTTATTTACCAAAAAAAAAACTAATTTATCGTTCCCATCATTATTATTGTTGTAAACAGATCGTTATTTGGCAATAAAAAAACCATTAACCTATGGTGTACGACGTACAACACGTCGTATTTTATCATTTATTGTTACTGTTTGGATTGCATCCTGCCTGATATCAATACCACCGGTATTAATATTGGGTAATGAACATGGTACACCTGAACAACCAATATGTGAAGTTAGTCAAAATCGTGGTTATCAATTATATGCAACATTAGGTTCATTTTATATACCATTATTTGTTATGATTGTTATGTATTATAAAATTTATGTTGCTGCAAAACGTGTTGTTGATGCTGAATTACGTGATCAACGACCATCATCATGTACAAATCAAACATCATCATTGACATTAAAATCTTCAATGGGAAAAACAAGAAAAACATTATCATTTAAATCATCAAATAGATTTTATTCGATTCGTAAACAGTCACCATCATCAACAACAACAACAACAACAGCCAAACAACAACAACAACAACAGCTACAACAACAACAACAAATTAATTATTTTGATCCATCAATGAAAAAGCCATCAACAACAACAACTGTACAGTTATTGGATAAAAATCAAAATTATTTATTGAAACAAAATGATAAAACAAATCATATTAGAATGAAGAAAAAAAGAAAAAAACGGGGACAAAAATTTTTTCGTAAATATTGTTGCTGTTGTTGCGGTTATAATAGTTGCTGTTGTGGTTGTCATTGCTGTCAAAATAGTGATTATTTTGATTGTGGCGATGATGATGATGAATTAAGCCGACAACAGAATTCCAATGAAATACCAGTAACAACATCGACTATAATAACACCAGCTGCCATTATGGTTAATTCGGATGGTAAAACAACAACAACAACATCGACGACTATGTTGACAGTTTTAACTACACCAATTTCAACAACAACAACATCAAATGATAATCATAAACATTTAAATGGTCATCAAAAATTAGGGAAAAAAACATTGAAACAATCGCCATCACCGACAACAACAACAACAACAAATTTTCAATCAGGATTTCGTCGTAATCGTCGTCGATCATTTAATAATAATACAAATACTGGATCAGTGTTAAATAATGATGGTGGTACAGTGTTAATAAGCGGTAGTGGTTGTTCAACAACATTAGCAATGAAACAACGTGCATCAAATGCATTACGTGAACGTAAAGCATCCGTTACTTTAGGTAAATTCTTTCTTTCTGTTTTGGACAATTTTCTTTTCCCTAAATTCTACTTTAGGGTTAAATTTAAATGATTTAAATTTAATGATTTTCGGTTTTTTTGGTGAAAATCGAGTTCATTCACATTGCCACGGAATTCAAAAAACCAAAAAACCAGAAAAATGCAATGCAGAAAAGCCAACTTTTTGTTTGCCCATTCACTAATCACTGTTTGATTGGTTTTTTAACCCCCTTGAACTCCTCCCCCATTTTTTTCAAACTATATTTATTTATAGGTTGATAGGCATTGTGTGGGTGGGAGGTGGGTGTGTCTGTGTTTGAATGTTTGATTGATGAATATAATTATCAAATGAAACACGACAAGACAAAGAATATTCATAATATAGGAAATATATGATTATTTTTTGATTGGCATATGAATTAAATCATGAAAAACAGGAAAGCAAGAATCCAAGAATCAGGTATCAGGAATCGAGAATTTTTTGAAATTGCATGTCAAAATGTAACGTTTAATTTATGAATTCAATACGAGACTGAACGAGAAACCAGACCAGAGAGAGAGAGAGTGACCAGAAAATTATCATTAAAAATCTTATAGCCTATGATTATTGCGATTCATTCATTCATTCTGTGTTTTTTCGATTCATATTCATTATTTTCATTTTCATTTTTCTCCATTTTTCTTTTCTATTCTATAAATATACAGGTATCATAATGACAGCATTTACTGTTTGTTGGTTACCATTTTTTATATTGGCAGTATTACGTCCATTTTCAGCTTCAGTTATGCAAATTCCACGTTATGTAACTAGTATTGCATTATGGTTAGGTTATGTTAATTCGGTAAGTGTTAAAAAAAAATTTTTCCTTTCTTTTTTGTCCAAACAAAAATATAACCCCCGAAAACCATAACTTACATTCATCATTTGTTGACATGAAAGAGAGACAAGAAGAATCCCAAAAAACCAGAAAACCAGAAAAGTTAATTATTAAGCCATTACTTTATCTATGAATGATGATGACAACCAACAAAAAAAAAAAATTAGAAAATGGTAGCTGTCAATGTGTTTTCCACTCCCATCACCACCACCACCACCACAAAATGGGAGTGGTTATCAATCACCAAAAAAAAAAATAATGAAAAAATTTTAACCCCGTATCATCATAATCGGTAGCTATTATTTTCGGAAACAACAACGAAAATTATATTCTGGACAATCGATCATTTTACAGAATATTCTTCTTCTTCTTTTCCTTCGTTTTTATGGTCTATTTTTTCCTTTTGGTCGGTCAAATGGTTGATTGGAAAAATGTGTCATTTTCATCATCATCATCATTGATAAATCAGTAACAAAAAATAACGACCAAGAATGAACAACATCCTGATCATATCAATTCAATTTCCATTTCCATTTTCTTTGGTTTGGTTTGTCATTAAACGAATGAATCTTATTCATTCATTCATTTAATGATTTCTGATATGAAAAAAACATTTGTTTGTTTGTTTGTCTCTCTCTGTGTGTGTGTATGTCATTTATATCACGAATTTTGACGAGCCAAACATTACATAACCAAGAGAGAGACGGCAAAAATGTCAACATTTCTTAATTCAATTCAAAAAAACATATTATCATTATTCGTTCATTTTGAATCACACGAAACGTCAATAAATGATAAAACAGATCTCCCCTCTACAAAGAAAAAAAATGATAATTTTCCATTTCCACAATTGGTGTGGAAATAGAAATAGAAAATAACTAAACCAAATGATTGAATAATCGAATCCAAAGAAAAAGAAACTTATTATGATTCTGATCTAATGTTTATTATGACTGAAAAAAAAGAAAAGATTCTTTTAGTTTATTTTGACCGGAATGATAATATTGGATGACAAGCAAGCAGGCAGGCAGTAAGAATATTCTGATATAAATCTATGGGTGTCGAAGAAAATAACCATTCAGGCTTGCTAAGTTTGACTTTTGAATTTTGTTTGTTTGTTTGTTTCATTCCTTTCTGTTGTCTTTTCCAAAAATAATTCCCGTTTCTGTAGTTTTTCTCAAAAAAACATTATCATTATTATTACTTAGTTGTAACGGTAAAAGAATCAAAAATTGAAAAATAAAATCGATTTTTCGTTTCGTTTTTCTGATTGAAATCGATTATGATGATGATGATGATTTGAAATTATCTTATCTAAAAAGCCCGAACAATCAATTCAATATGGTGGTGGGTGGGTGGATGGAGGAGGGGTTAAATCATCATCATCATTTTTTTTTCTCGATCCAATGAAGCTAATCAATCGTGATTCTGTATCGTTTTTTCTATTTCGACTCAATCAAGGTCAAAAAAAACAATACAGAATTTAAAATTGAATTTTGATTACCAAAATCTGAAATAAACAGAAAACAAAACAAAACCAAGCAAGAAAGAAAAAATAAAACATTTATGAAATGATTAATCAAGCATGATGAATTGTTTTTTGAAAGTTTGAAAAATTCTTAAATTCTCTCTCTCTCTCTTTCTCCATCTCTATATCTGTTTCCATTTTGTTCGTTTCATCAATTTTTCTGTTTCGTCATAAAAAAAACAAAACAAAACTTTTATCGATTTTGTTGCAAAACAGAGAGAGAGAGAGAGAGAGAGAGAGAGAGAGAGAGAGAGAGACTGGAAGAAGAAAAAATAAATAAACATTATGGATGAACAATATTCATTTGTATAACAAAAGAAAATAAGAATATTGAACATCTTTCTCTCTCTCTCTCTCTCTCTCTGAATTCTTTTCTTCTTCAAAAAATTCTTACTTTGTAAACGATATTTTTTTTTTTGCTTTTTGAAAAAAAAAATTTTCCAACAATGTATGAATTCATTCATTCATTCATCATTCGATGTTTATTTTCTTTTCTGTTCTGTTCTGTTCCGTTGTTATTGTTCAGACAGCAGAAAATAAACGAAAAAAAAGAAAGAAAAAAAAACAGATCGAAAATTTTTCAGTTCGGTTCGGCTGTTTGTTGTTTGTATACAAAATTTATTGTTATGTAAATTTTGCTAAACAACGAATAACACACGTTATTTTTCGTTATTTCATTTTTTTTTCAAATGTTACATAATGATGATGATGATGATGATTTGTCGTCGAAAGTAAATGATGTGTTTATTTTATTTTCTTTTTGGTTTGGTTGGTTTGGTTGTGTAACCCTTTTTCGTTTCTCTCGATGAAATTGTTGTTTAAACATTGTTTTTGTTGTTGTTTAGTTTCTAGTTTTGTTTCTAGTTTTTTTTTGCGTTTTCTTCTCGTTATCTGGTGTAAAGCCGTGAACCTTTATGAATATTTATCTTTTTCTTGTTTTGAGTGTACAAATGACAAAATTCAATCAAATAAATGGAATATTTACGGGGGAAAAGAAAAATTTGAATTGCAGAAAACCAAAAAAAAGAACGTTTTTTTCCATCATGGAAGACAATTTTATTGCCTCAATTTGTCGAGAGAGAGAGAGAGAGAGAGAGAGAGAGAGAGAGAGAGAGAGAGAGTTTTTCATATCCCTCATCATCATTATCATTAATAATGT